GATCATTTTGTTAATTATATTATTTTTTATAATAATTAGTTTAATTATCCTTATATAAATCTTAAAATCGTGCGTGGCACGTGACTAGCTTTACAGCTGTAATATGGATTTGGATTGCCATAAAAGTGGTGATGAGGCTGAGTCATCCGAGTGTGAACTCAAGGACAATAAGTGAATTTGACAAAAACTAAAGGGATCATAATGTAATTCAACAAAATTAGTTGAATGCATTGAAATATTTTCACCAAAACAGCCTGGAAAGTTGTTTTTTTGAGTGGTCGGTCATTACCCTCTTAATTCTCCCCCTTTCCTTTTTTATCCTCATTCTTTTAAGGGCTACTTTTGTCAATTATCTATAGTGTCCGAATAAATAGTTTCAACATAAATCATAAAATTGCTTTTGATAATCGCGATCGGAATCTAAAAACAAAAATTAACTTAAAAGTGTGAGAAGTTTAGTCAAGAAAGTGGAATTTTTTGAACACTTTTAGGAATTTACGACTTCCTCGAATTTAGAATTTTTTTTTTTTTGTCTTTTGCTTTTAATATTTAGACAATTAGACTTATAAAGAAAAAAAAAAACACATTCATTTGACGATAAAAATGATAAAGTGTCAAGTAAAATCAGATATGATGAACTGTGTTTTAAATAATAATAATAATATAATAGTATCCAACATCTCATTTGTGTGAAGATCAATCATTACAAACAATAATAATATATAATGATAATTAAAATTAAAATACATAATGTGATATAATGAAACAATAATAATATATAAATGATATTTAAAATACATAATATGATATAATGAAACAATAATAATATATAATTGATAATTAAAAAAGTACATTATGCGATAATTGCAACGTGATTTCATGAATTATATTTACAAAAAACGCGATTTCATTTTTTTTTTTTGTTTCTTTATGGGGCACTCCTGTCCAACGTTATCAACACCACCGACTAAAATTACCACGTGTGGATTGATTGCTTAATTGATACAGGTAGTCCAATGTGAATACATTGTACACATAAGGAGTCAAAATTTGCCGACTCCTACAACTTACAACTCACAACTTAGCAAAAAAAAAAAAAAAAAAAAATGCGTACTAAAAATTTGTGAAAATAACAAATGTGGTCATGTAATCTTTAAGATTTATCATAAAAATAGCTAAAAGAACGTATTGTGTCTCAAAATAGCTAGATATTGAATAAGGTTGCTACAAAATATGGACCCTACTTCGGAATTGTTTTTTATGAAATACGTTGTCGTTTTTGTGACATTTTATGTTTTGCAGTGGGCCACTGAGAAATTATGCATGCTATTGTGAGTGTTCGTTGTTTTGTGCTTTTGGTTTCGCAGGAGGTAGAGACATATACGAGTCACATATGCAGTTTTAGTGGCTCCTTTTTATCGCCTTATGATACGGGTAACTCAGTTGTTCAATGAAGTTTATAGTACTTATGCTATTTAACTTGTATGTTTATTAATGCATGAACCATATGAGCACAGGCTAGGGGATGAAATTTTTTACATATAAATTTGATTTAATTTGGATAAAAAATATTTTTAATACAGAATTTCTTGTGTGTCCCCAACACATGAATATCCTCCAAATCGCCACTAGTGAAAATGACTTATAAGACCAGAGTTGAAAAAATGTCAATCATATTTTGTTTGTTCAAAAAAAATCTAACAAGCTTATGTTTTTGTTTGATTCTCATTAGAGATAATCAGATTCATTAGTTATACAATTAGTTGGCAAATGACATGTAATAAACATATTAGAATTTTCGTTTATATATCAATTTAAGGTTTGGCAGGAGCGTAGTATTTAATGGGGCCAGGAGGGGCAGTGCCCTCCCCTGATTTTTGGGCTAGAAGTAGGAATTATAGTTCAAAAAAATTAGTTATAGGCGTGCTATCTTCAAACTTGGGGTTTGGCCCCTCCCGATTCCTCATCAGACTCCAATAGTCTGAATTCTCCAAGCAATGTCAAGAAATTAAAAATAGTTCATCCCTATTTGCCTAAGTCGCCATTCGATGTGTTGTTATCTGCCTATCTCGCCTGCTGTCGTGGTGTTGCTGTCTCGCTAGTCGCTTGTGCCTTGTGTCGTTGTCTCGCCAAGTCGCCTGGTCTCACTCTTGCCATCGCCAAGTGACCAAGTCGCCATTCACAGAAATCAGGTATGGAATCCCGTCATCTCGAGACCCGAATCATGTTCTTTCTTTTCTTATTGTTGATTGTTGGTGCTGCTGTTTGCTGTTGCCTGTTTCTGCATTACTGAGTTTCTCTAATTCTCTTGATCTCTTTTTTCCGATTCTCTCGGCCCAAACTCTAAATTAGGAATTAGAGTTTCTTTTTTTAACTTGGCTGTCATTTGCCAATTTAATTTATGAGTTATGAACTTATGATTTGTCAGTTTAGTTCTTCTAGTCTTCTTTCAGTTTTGATTTAATGTAAGATTTAGGACACCAAATAGGAATAGAAAAAAAAATGATAATTGATTTGGTTATGTTTCAAACAAAACTGAAAACAAAGATTGATTTGATTATTGTTTTGAGTTTTGATTTTTGATTTGGTTATGCTTCAAACAAAATTGAAAATAAAGATTGATTTTAAAGATAAGTGTCGCAAACAACTTGGTGATTTACATAGAAAGAGAAATTGCTGAAAACATTGATTCGAAGTCTGTAATTGATGAATTTAAAGACATTAAAGGTCATCGGGCTGAGTTGTAATTCTTTTTCTATGTGTTTTTGGTGTTTATATGTTGAAAACAATGTGTTTTTTTTAAGAATGTTAATTTCAGTTTATAATATTTTCGGCCCCAAGTTAATTGTTCAAGCTCGACCACCGAGGTTTTGAGAAGAGAAAAACAAACGAAGATTGTGTTCGATCTCTTGTAATACTTACTTCTTCTTCCTCCTCTCAATCGTTGATATCCAAATCAAGATCTACAAGAGAAGATATATAATGATGCAAACCCTTGTTGTTGTAGACGTCCTTCTCAGATTTAGACATCTAGAACAGATGATCATCCATAGAAAAAGTTCAGGGCTTGTTCGAATTGTTCGAACATATGGGTAAGTGTAATTGAAAACTTTATCATGTCCATCTCCTATTTATTTAGTTGATTATTTGAATAAGTTCTTGTTTTTGAAGGAACCAAACAAAAAAACGTCCTTTTTGACAATAGGTTAATGAAGATAAATGAGTTGACTCAATTAAAATGAGGATATCAATTTTGTGAAATGATTTTAATGTTTACAAAGTGAAGACAAATAAGAAATTTGCACAATTTAGTAGGAATTTGTGAATCCACAAATTCCTTCTTAGTATCACTACAAGAGATCATACATAAACGTCATTTGTTTTTCACTTCTCTAAGCCCTAAATCGATAAATAAAATGTTATTCTAATCTGTTTATTCCGTGTCATTAAATATAATGTCATGTTATTTGCCAACAATTCCTTTTTGTTGGGTTTTTTTGAACATACAAAACATAATTGAGGTTTTTTGAATGGTTTCAATACTTTGTTGGTTTTATAAGTTATTTTCCTTTTACTTAATTCCACGTAATGAGCCATATCATCTGTTTCTCCTTGATGACTTCCATTAGTCGGTTGGCCCTAATGAAAATTGAACAAAATTGTAAGTTAGTTGGGTTTTTTAGACAAAATGTTAACTTCGCTGCGTTTTCTTAAACATACAAAACATGATTGAGGTTTTTTGAATGATTTGAAAATTTCGTTGGACTTGTAAGTCATTTTCCATCGCCACTACATATGCAGGTTCTTAAACTTATTCTCTAATACAATAAATGAACCTTGAACTACAATTTACATTTTATTCATATCTTTGTGCTTCAACTTACTGCTTACATTAACGTTGCCCGGGGTGTTTGTCCCGTTTCACGACAATTAACATATGGATAGTGTCTTTCTCGAAAATAATATCATATCCTAAAAAAGGCAAGCTATTATCTCCTGATCTAGTTTCGAAGCCGAATATCGAGTAGTTGAACATGTAATTACCGAAACCAATTGAATATGTATGTAATATCCTCCTTAAAGTTCCCTAAATATGTAGTCAATTATCAATCAAATCACGGATTATTTTCCATGCTTTTATAATTACGTCAAAATGGTTTTTCAATAGAAAAACATATGAATTGATGTATTTATTTTCTTAATTATAATTAAAAATAAAAGTTGATAAGATATTTGGCTTTTCTAAATACTACAAAAGAACCAAATTTACTCACTTTACCGTTAAATATGTTGACTATCGAACTACATTTTGCCCTCCCCTTCTATTTTTATCTATTAAATAGCAATATTTAATTATTAGTACACTTAATTGTCTCTTACTCGGATCGAAATGATCTTATACATTTTGATCACTCTTGTACACTTAATTCTCTTACTTGTATCGAAACTAATCTTATTGTTTGTATATTTCTTTAACATTACACTATTTTAACAAAAGTAAATAAATAACTTGAATAACAAAACAAAATGATTTTTTTATTTATTTATCAAAACTAGTCAAACCTGGCAGGTGAAAGTCATAAATTCCCTCGATTAATGTTTTGACGAGAACCTCATTATAGATACACAAAAACACAAACTATTTTCGAAAATAATTAGAACATGTTTGTAAAACTAACTAGTTATATAATCGTTGTGTTAGTTGTTTAGCTGAAGTTAAAAACTACTTATGTTCTAACATCTCAAGTTAGATACGTAATTACGTATCTCTCTATAACAAGTCATTAATTTTTTTTTATATAACTTTTAAGTTGAATAAAAGATTATAAAAGTATTTATTATGTCGGGCAACACATTAATGCATTTACATATTTATTTTAATTTTAAATCACAAATAAAAGATGGTAATTTAGTAGTGCACTTGTTCAATGTTCACTACCCCTCAATCATAAGAACTCCCATATCTCTCTCTCTCTCTCTCTCTCTCTCTCTGTGTAACAATGGTGGTCAAGAATCAGAAAGTCAACATTTTGATCTTCATATTCATCACATCTAACTTATTGTTTGCAGCTCAATCGAATTCATGGATTGGTTCCAAATACCAAATCGAATGTACAATGTGTGCTGCTTGTGATAATCCATGCAGCCCACCCACCTTCTCTCCACCACCACCGCCACCACCGTCGCCTTCTCCACCGCCACCGTCCATTCCCAAACCCTCCCCACCGACATCAGTCGAATGTCCTCCACCGCCTGCTTCCCCTAGCTCCGGTGGAAGTGGTGGTGGAAGTGGCTACTACTACCCACCTCCACCAAACTCCGATCAGGGTCCTTACTACACCTACCCACCACCGTACAGCAATTACCCGACACCAGGACCACCCAACCCAATTATGCCATACTTCCCTTACTACTATTACAGCCCTCCACCACCTGGACCTTCCGCCGCCGTCTCACTTCCCGGTGCTACCACCCTGTTCTTACTCAGCTTCATTTTAATCTTCTTCTTTTAGTTTTATGAAATTATTTATATATATATTCAAGTGAAGAATAAAGTGTCAAGAGTTCACAGATCTACAAAAAGATTACGCAAGATTCGAGATTGATGAATTCCCAGAAATACCCATCAAGCTTTCATCAATTTACAGATGAATTCGTGATCGCACTACACCAGGAATCTTGATGATGAATGATGATGGCTAAAAGTGGAAAAGCACTATTTTGCTGTGAAGTAATCTGTAAATTCTTGACATCTTATGTCTTCTTTTTAGTAATGTTACTGTCTGTTTAGCTTTACTTTACATAGCATATTAGTAATTAATTAAATGATAATCATCAATTATTATTACATTTCAATCTATATACCCTTTGTTTTACTTGATGAATTTATTCGTTATTGCATATATATTTAATTATGGCCCTGTGGGATTTTAGTTTTCGTAGTTTCAATCATGAGTCAAAATTATTTTGGCAGATTCTAGAAATTGTTTTAAATGCGTGTTGGTGATTGAGCTAATTAAAATTAGATTAATTACTCATATTATTACCTTTCCAGATCAAATGATAAAGTTTTGCACCACATATACATATTACGTTTGTGACTGTGCTTCTGTTTGATTATTTTTTACTCATGGAAAATTCTATGCACATGCATACATATATATATATATATATATATATAACATGGAGGTATATATTAATATAGATGCATACATCTCAAGATGTCATCATGGTTCCGAATTCTTAGAATACTTTCTTAATCTAGAAAAATGCAATTTTTCTTTGTTAACATATGATTTAATAAAAAAAAAATACTACTGATTAATTATAATTACATAAAGCATATCTAAATAACAATAATATAAATAAAACAAAAATTGTCCACCGAAAGCAAAGTTGATGATATTGGGTGCTATGACACATTGTATATTTATAGCATATTGAAAAGTCCTCCAAAATATTCCATATATTATGGCTTTTGATCTTGTGTATTCCTTATCTTTTCCGTATCATATAATGGGCGTGTTTATTTTATAAAATCAACTTTTTGACCACGATACGATATCTTAATTCTAATTACGTACAAATATGATATTAAATATTACAATTAAAAGGTCATAAGTGTTGTGTATTGCAAGTAGAATCAACCAACTTACGCGGATTGAGTTCAAGTGACATTTTGAGTATATACCGGGTGTGGGTCCCTTCGCATAACCAAATATATGTTGGTGACGTTTAGCATCATCAAACATTTTAGGTAATTCTGATTTATGTGAATACAAAAAGGGATTTAAGTTATGTTTGAATACGAGTGAAGTATAGAATGCACCCAATTTGTCTTTCTTACTTGTATAAAGGGTTCAACCCAACATCAGGCAAATTGTTTCCTTCTTCTGAGCATAGATTTTACATGAGACACATTAATCACGAAAACAAAACTATATTGGAGGGGGAGGAGTTGAAGCTACATCTATGGAGGTGTACTACCGCTATAAGTGGCAACTGTATTTGAGAAGGCTATGGAAGACTTCAAAAGATTCAATGAAAAGGCACATGAATGCTTAAGTCATTTTCCCCCAAAAGTGGGTTTATCTCATTTTTTGGTAATAATATTATTCCCTACTCAATTTAGGTAGTATAGTATGTCATCGCAATATATACTTTCTTACATAAGAAGAAAAGTTTATGATGTTCATTTGAACAAGTTGTGTGAGGTTTTATATTCCAAGTTAATTAATAAAAGTGACAAACCAATAATCACTTGTTTTGGAGTTCATTAGAGAGTATTTAATAATGAAGAGAATATGAAATGTTTTGGAGTTCATGAGCATTTTCAGTGGAAATAGTAAGTATCAAGTAATTGGTCCATGAATGGACTAATGTGTTGTTAACTTGAAGGATATCACATGAAGGAAATTGGACATTTCTGGTATAACCTGCAAGCATGTACTTTCTTCCATGTGGGGCAAGATAGAGAATAAGGGAAAATATCGTGATCGTGAGGATTGGGTACATAAGTGCTAATGCCTTGGATGGAAATGTAAAAATTCAAGGTTGATCCCATAAATAGAAGAAACGTATAGCCTATGTCAACTTATATAACTACATTATTTTTCCCAAAACATCAACCAATAATTGATATGTAATGGTTTACACTTATTACCTTTCTTTAAATTTGTAGGTGGGTAGACCAAATAAGAAGAAGGGAAAAAATGATGAAGATAAGTAAACAACCACGGTATGAGCCTCGGTAGGAAGTACCTAACAGTAATATGTAGCAAGTGCTAAATTTTAAGGCATAACACAAGGAGTTACAAAGGTCAAGGTGGAGTAGATAAAGTTGGAAGGCGAAACAAGAAAGTTCCAAGAAAAGGACATGCATATTAGATGAACTTATGTTGGTTAAATGGTTGTTTGACTTAGATTGTGTAAGTATTAAACAATATCATGTTTTTTGGTTGTCATGTTAATACAGAAAATTACCTAAAACTGATTATAATATTTCCTCTCTTGCCCTCTCTGATCTTTTAAACCTACATGTTTTAATGTCTATATATAGCAGATAATAGCAACCTAGTTTGTATCTAACTAGAATACTAACTTGCCATATATAAAGCATGTGTGTTCCCTAAACAACCAATTTTCTTAAACCCTAATCATCATGTTAGGTTTCCATGTTGCCCAAGGAATGTTCCCTTCCTACACTTCATCGTTTATGGAATGGGTAAAAATGGAAATTATCAATAATCACCCCCCTAATTTCCGAATGGAAAAATTAAGAGGTCTTCAACTCCTAGCATCTTGTGCTTTTCAATGAACTTTATCTTATCCAACGCCTTTTTTTTTTTTTTTTCAAAATCTTTGCTCCTTTCCGTTGACATGCTCGACTATGATCTCCTTATCTTCAACTCATTCTCGTATGTAGTGAAAACGAGATTTGATGTGCTTACTCTGGCCATGAAAAACTAGGATTTCGATTGAAGCAATTGTTGATGTGTTGTGAACTTTAATTATCACTTCTTGTACTTGACAACTAGTTATTTCTCTCAAAAGATCTCGTAACCAAACTGCTTGCCAGCTTGTTATAAATGTAGCCATATACTTAGCTTCACAGGAGGATAACACCATTGTTTCTTGCTTTTGAGAGCATCACATGATTGGTAAGTTACCAAAGTAGAATACATGCCCGGTGATACTTCTTCCATCATCTTGATTAATGTTGTGAATGTTATCACAATATCCAACCAGTCTAACAAGATTATTACGACTGTAACAAATCCCTTATCCGATAGTATCTTTTACATAGCGCAATATTTGTTTTATAGCCTTCATGTGTAACTTCTTTGGAGTTTGCATATAACGACCTCTAGTGCCAACTAAATACGCTAAATCAGCCCGTGTCTGAAGTAAGTATCTCAATCTACCTACCAAGCTTCGATATTGTAACGTCCCAAAAATTATAAAGGAATTTTTGTTTATAAAATAGATTAACCAATTAAACATTTGCTTAAAAACCATTGAGTAATATTTGTTTCATTAAAACCATACATTATCAGAGATAAGTTTACAAAACAAGAGACATGAATATCTTTGATGCGTGTGTCCAGTCCCACTGAGCTCTTCTCATAAACGACATGCAAAACATGTAATCCATAACTGTAAGCATAAAACTTATTGAGTTCCCAATATACCACATATTCCACCATACATACAATGCATCCACACAAAGTCATTGGCTATAACATCGATATATTAACTTACATACAACATAAATATTAGTACAGAACATGTGAATGTTTTGGTCCTCCCACGGTCTTACAATCACTCATTAATGTAGTCCTCCTGTAGTCTTAATTTTTATGGTCATATACGGTTGTCATGGTCCTCCCATGGTCTTTCATACAAATGTCATGGTCCTCCCATGGTCTTTCATGTAATTGTCAAGGGCCAAATCATGGTCTTTCATATAATTCATAAAGTCTTATGTGGTTAGATATCAGATAGACATTCGAATAGATGTTCCCACCCGAGAGAAAACAATCAAACAAGAACATCGCAATAAGGCATTAGACCAAGAGTTCTCAAGTTATCCAAATTAAACTACACAATACCAATGTTATCGTTACCACATAATCATGTAACATAAACATATAACGCCACTTTTTCTTGCTTTTGAGAACATCACATAATTGGTGAGTTACCAAAGTATAATACATGTCTGGTGATACTTCTTCCATCATCTTGATCAATGTTGTGAATGCTATCACAATATCCAACTGAAGAGGTTTGTTAATCGAGAATGAAATGAAATCAGGGTACTAATGAACTATAAACACCAAGAGTAAATATAATCTTGTTTCAGCTCATTTATGCTTTCGAATACAAAAAGTGTTTAGACAGAATACAAGGTGAAAGTTCTTATCTAACTCTAAGTATCAACCCATATTTATAGGAGAACTAGAAAGTTTACAAAAAATACAAAGGAATAAAACATTATAATTTCGAAACAACAATGCCTTTGTAAATAACTTTACTACACCACTAAATACAAACAACCTTCGACACCTTACAATATATTTCAACTCTAACACCAACTAGTCTTACAAGATTATTGCGACTGTAACAAATCCCCTATCCGATAGTATCTTTTACATAACTTAATATTTGTTTTATAGCCTTCATTTCTTTGGAGTTTTCATATAATGACCTATAATGCCAACCGAGTAAGCTAAATCAACCCATGTTTAAAGTAAGTATCTCAATCTACCTACCAAGCTTCGATATTGTAATGTCCCAAAAATTATAAAGAAAATTTTGTTCATAAAATAGATTAACCAATTAAACCTTTTCTTAAAAAAACCATTGAGTAATATTTGTTTAATTAAAACCATACATTATCAGAGATAAGTTTACAAAACCGTAGAAACGAATATCTTTGATGCGTATGTACAGTCCCACTGAGCTCTTCTCATGAACGACATGTAAAACATGTAATCCACAACTGTAAGAATAA